GCTTTTGGAAGTTATTATTAATGGGCTTTCTATTAAGGCCTTTTCAATAAATATCAGTTGACTAAAGAACGGCATGAAGTTTATTATTTCAAGGGGAGAAAAACAACACGGAGTTCACTTACAAAACATAAACAACACGATGTTTTCTCCAAAGTCTCGCAATAACATGGAGGAGAGTTGACGAAGAAGAAACATCTGAAGCAGCCATGGAGATAGCCGCCACTAGAACTGTCTCCGTCGCGCGGCAATCGCGTCGATTGTCGAATGCCTTCTCCAGGAAGCTTGATTCCGTCTCTTCTCTTTCGTTTGGTTACTTCGAGATAAAATATTGCGTTGGGAGCTCTAGGCTTTGCGTGTCTGCATCTTCCATGGAGGCCATCACTGCCGAGAAAATCTCTCCGGCGAGTTTTCTCGACAAGAGAGAAACCGGAGTTCTTCATTTTGTGAAGTACCATGGTCTCGGAAATGATTTCATTTTGGTATGTTTGTTCTCCTTCGAAATTGACCGAATTGGTTTCAAAAATCTTAAGAAATCTTTCTGAAAAATTGGGTTTTCAAGGTTGATAACAGAGATTCATCGGAACCTAAGATTACTCAAGAGCAAGCGGTGAAGCTATGCGATCGAAACTTCGGTGTTGGTGCAGATGGAGTGATCTTTGCATTGCCAGGAGTCAATGGTACAGATTATTCAATGCGGATATTCAATTCAGATGGTAGTGAACCAGAGGTGTGGCTTTGTTTAAACACTCTACTTCGATGATAATGTCTGTTGAATTTGAGCTGATATGTTTGAGTGAATTGTTGTTGAGCTTGATGAAGTCATTGGTCTTTGATTATGGTCTTGTAGATGTGTGGCAATGGAGTTCGATGCTTTGCCAAGTTCATCGCTGAGCTTCAGAACTTACAGGGAAAGCATAGGTATCCATAACTGTTGAGAGTTTCGAATTTAATCATTCTTGATGCAATCTCTAATGTTTTTGTGTTTGATTTGGTAGTTTTACAATCCATACTGGTGCTGGCCTGATTGTTCCAGAAATTCAAGATGACGGGCAGGTAAATCTTTCGGATTGATGTCTCGTATTAGGCTTTAGTGAAATTCATGATGACGGGTACAGTGAAGCTTGGATTTTTATCTCCCGTTGATTACAAGTTGTTTACTGCATTGTGTTTTGATATGGGAACAGGTTAAGGTTGACATGGGTATACCTATTCTTAAAGCACAAGAGGTGCCCACGAAGTTGGCAGGAAACAAAGGTGAAGCTGTTGTTCAGGCAGAGCTAGTTGTCGATGGAGTAAGCTGGAATGTGACGTGTGTTAGTATGGGTAATCCTCACTGTATCACTTTCGGTACTAAAGGTGGACCGGTGCGTGTATGCTTGCTGGACTTCAGATTCTATTATTTATCGACTTATGGAATTTCTCATCGTTTGTAATTTTCCTTTGTGTCAACCAGAATCTGAAAGTTGATGATTTGAACTTGCCAGAGATTGGTCCAAAGTTCGAGCATCATGAAATGTTCCCAGCTCGAACTAACACAGGTTAGTGGAGATTCATGGGTAGATCTATCCAAATTTTCATAGACAGATAGAGCAATATTTTTTCTCTATCATTTTTCGATTTATATCTCTTAAGTTATCTTACAATTCTTTGCATTATATCTGCAGAATTTGTGGAAGTTCTATCACGTTCTCATTTAAAAATGCGTGTGTGGGAGCGTGGAGCAGGTTTGCTAATTCCCCCAAATAATGGAATCTTTTTCTTAGTTGATTATCAGCAGTCTCTATAATGCTTAATCATACTTAAAAACTGCAGGAGCAACTTTGGCCTGTGGAACTGGAGCTTGTGCTCTCGTTGTTGCTTCAGTCCTTGAAGGTCGAGCCAACAGGGTAAGTTTGGAATTTCAGAACTATAAAACTGGATATCAGTTTGCAAACATGGTATAATTTTCCAG